GTATTCTGTCGAAACTGCCAGACGCGGATCACGATTTCGATCTTTTTGGATCTCATCAGCGCGTCGCAGGCAGCTCCGACTGAACACAGACCAACTTTTACCTGCTGTCTTAACAGTGCGTTTTAGAAAATACTACAAATGGCGCAGTACACGCCATCTGTAGCACGATGCTACATTTTAGGATTACGTATTTTTTAACAAGGTCCACTTGTGTGGATATCTACTTACTGAAAACGAAAACGTCCACTTGTGTGGATATCTACTTGCTGAAAACGAATCCGTCCGCATTTGGCAGTTTGAATAGAATATAAATAACATAAGTTACATTTCTGCAGTTATACAAAGTACAATACATAACTTTTGAATATTCAAAGCTGGTTGTATAAAGTTAGTCAATTATGTAGAAGATTAAGTAATCTTTTATTTTTCATTTAATGAATCAAAATGTGTTCACCAATAAAAAACAAACTCAATAGATACCCATTAATTCCACAAGGATCCCATTGGATGCTTCCTAAAATATTTAACATGTTATGATTTATTGTAACGAAGCAAAACACCAAAGTTTCAAGAAAATCTATTGTAGACACATAACAACTCTTTCACCACAAAGTAGTTTCGTCATGTATCCATCCACAAAAAAATTCTTGAAACTTGGGTGTTCTGCTTCGTTAAATTATGGATAAGTTTGAACAAGTAACAGCTTATACCGACTGTCAATAATTAATTTAAGATTCGACGGTTTCAACTTTGTTTCGTTAGCGATGAGAATTCATTAGTTAGTAAACACATCGAAGGGACATCATACATTAGCAGATGGATATGATATGTAAATTCCATTAAGAGATTGTCAACAAATCAGTTTACCTATTGAATCAGTAAATATACACATGAGGACACTGTCATGAATTAACCGGGTCACTAATCCATTTGACCATCTGCCAACGTTGTCACTATCCTTAATCACTCTAACAAATTATTCCTTTGTCTTCTGGACATCTAGCGTAATTCTAAGGAAAGCCAGCGTCGTCAACGATTTTAGTATTCATTCTACTGTATAATAATTTACTTCCTTGAATGGATATAGAAGACACTTGAGGAGAGATGAATATATCAAATTTAATAAGTTGGATTATCCTCATAAGAATTTGAATTATTTTTACCCTAAACAAAGCATTTAGAAAAAATAATTGTACAATATACGTAATATAGGTATTTAAGAATTAATAAAATTAAATCATTTCTTCTACTTGAACAAATCACTGTCTATTCTAAGCTCATTTAAAATTACAATTAATTATAAATTTCTTTAATACATTTTCTGGATATGTAAAATGTAAATACAGTGTAAACTCTTTATAACGTCACTCGATTTAACGACAAACTCCTTAAAACGTCGAAATTGCTTCACTTTGGTTGGTTTACATTGTTTTCTATACAATATTACACTCTATATAGCATCACGCTCACTCTATTTAACGACAACAATGCGGCATTATAAATAATTAAGCAGTACTTTCTAAGTTGGCGTAATAGATAAGAACTGCAGCCGTGCGTTGTAGAAGAAGACGATCCTGTCCCTCCATCAAGCATCAAACAAGCACTTGATGCAGCGAAACCATTAAAAAAATACTTTTTATTGATCCAGCAGTATGTCAAGATATGAGTAAGATACGTAACAAAATACAATTAAAATATTGGACCACTCTTTATAACGCCGAAAAATGTTCAGTCCCTTAAGTGTCGTTATATAGAGTTTACACTGTATTATATTTTTAAAAATCCGCTTATTAGGGCTTCTATTGGACCAAACATTCTTCGATAATTCGACATAAGCTTGCCTTTCACACCCCTTCGTTATGACGGTATGGAAAAGCTGGCACACAAACCTTTCAAGTTTGTTGTTCATTATAGCCGAATGCTATCTACGTATCACCAATTTGTTCGTGTCACAAGCGAGATCCGCAATCGCCTGTTTTTAAATATTTTTGAAACAATTGCAAAGGAATTTCTAAAAACACTTACCTCAACATAAGAACAAAACTTATTGCCATCTTTACATTACAGACCCTTGATCTTAGGATGGTGTCTACTTAATCTCTAAGATTTCCTAACGGATGTTAGTGGTAAAGTTGTTAAATCAGGGGTTAATGTATAATTAAATAGGTCATTTTGCGTGACCGCAAGCGACTGGTAATGTTAGACAGTATATCACTGTCTCCCTCAGTATGGGATTATTAATAGCAAACGTCATCCACTACATGGATCGAGATTACTAGTCGATTTAACAACCTCAAGCTCTCCTGCTACTAACATGCAAAATGATGGGTAATGTCAGGTGCAACATTCGCTTATTACTGCATAAAAACACCAATTATAGCCACTGATCAAATCATTGTTCTTCTCAACGAAAGGGTCAGGGTACTCGATTTATCGGGTATCAAATAAACAGGGTACAGGCCTGACGCTGGAAGCTGGCGGAAATTTTAAAATGGCGTGGATGCGCGGTGGCAAAAGTAGGCAGTTTTAGGTATAAAGATTGCAGCCCTCATTCTTCAGTATTCCTATCAGGGGCGTAGATTAAATATTTAAAAATAGGGATCAGTGAGCAAGTAATAGACAGACAAACAGAAGAACTGATTGTTGATGTTGGTGACAGTGATAGAGATTCACATGATGAGAGTGAATGTGAAAACTAACTATAAAACAGAAGCAATAGGTTAATTTTTTCTTTTTGATAAGTCATGTTTTTACATTATTTTCTAGTACGCTACTGTCCCATCTGTATTTATACTATAATTTACGCCTACTGAAAGCTTATTTGTGTATCGGTTCCAAGTGACTTACCCAAATAAGTCATAAATGGGCAAGTACCTGCGCGATCGCTCGCCAGCTTCCTTCGTCAGACCTGTACTCGGTTTATATTCTATACCCGGTGAATACACCATTTTTTTTAGGATCCGGATTAGGTATCAAATAAAGATGTCGAGTATACGGCAGTGCCGAATAATTCTACCTGAGGAAAAGGAAACCACAAACACAAGAAATAATAAATTAATAAATCTAATAAAAAACTACCTAATACAAATTTTAATTAAGATTGTATTGGGATAGATCGTTTGTCCTAATTTGTATTATTTATTAATTACTGTAGTAAATTATTTCTTATTTCGATACAGTTCTTGTGTTTACTATTTCTAGTGAACAAGAATACATGAGTATGAACGAACTGTTACAATTTCTGTCGCTTGTTGGTATATCAGGTTTTGATTAACGATAACTTATTAGTATGATTTTGTCGCCTTGAAGATTTTTAGTATTATTTATGAATATTATAGGGTCGTTTCAACGGTTTCAACTGAAACCTCTCGTTGAAAAGCCGCCAACTAAGAATTAAAACTTTATTGGTTTAATGTTCAAACGACTTTTTGAACGGGACTTGATAATTTGTTTGGGATGTTGGTGAGGGTGGTATTTAATTGAAAAACCGACAGAATGAAGGCTTGAGTCATTAACCGCAGTGGACAGCTAATTTCGGGCACCCGGTTATCCGGCACCCACCAAAAACACTGTCTAGTGCATCTCTACTTTATTTATAGAAAAAATAACCAGCACGATGTGCTAAAAATGAGCGTGAATATAATTTGGTTGAGTTTAAACGGAGAGGGTGAAGTTTCCACAAAGTAGTTTATTTATTTCTGTTTAAAAATTGTCTTTTAATTTTGTTAAAAAAGCTGCAGTTTGACACCCGACAAGAAACATTTTTTTAAGGACAGTTCTGAAAAATCTGAAAAACACACATATTCATACACACGCACCCCCCCCC